GCAGACAGTGCTTGATCATTTCTGGGGCGATCAGGCGCTGATCAAGGGCTCGGACGGGTGCGGCCGTGCGAGGCTCGTGGACCCGAGGCTCGTGGATCCGAGCGGCGTGGAGGCGCTTGCAGAGGGGCGACGCCAGCTGCTGCGAGACGCGCTGGAGCTACCGGCGATCGCGGCCACCGGGACCGGCGAGGCCGCGCCCTGGCGCAGCGATCGGGCGCTGGCGCTGCCGGCTCCGTCGCGCGCGCCGGCCTCCAAGGCCGGAGGCAGCGACGCAGGGGGCTCGGCCGGTGGAGGCAGGGGCTTGCCTGGCGGTCGCGGTGCCGAGGCGATTGCGGCGCCTGAGGACGTACCGACTGTGGATCGACGTGGACTCGCACGGGGGGCGCTTCAAGACGTGGAGGGATGTCGTCCGCGAGTCGTCGACCGAGGAGTGCGACGACACGCCGCTCGAGGGTCCGTGCGCGGTGTTGCACCTGCTGAAGCACATGGAGCGCCTCGGGGGTAGCCCGAAGACCTGACTTGACAGGTGGTGCTGAGGGCACCGCATCGGGAAGTCGGATCGCCTCTTTCACGAGCTGGAGACGCTCGTAAAGGCGCTGATGATCGGCGGAAGCTCATCTATATGCAGAAGATGATCGGCAGAAGCTGTAATCAGCTCAATATGCCTTGGCTGCTCATCTTCGAGAAGATCTGTCGGCGGATGCAGCTCATCGTCGACGCGCACGCCGAGCTGGGTGCGGCTCCCTCGTGGCGGATGGCCCGCTGCTCCAACGGGGTGGCCGCGGTGGGCGACGCGGCGAGCCCAGCGCTGCGCATCTACGGGGTGCGCTGGGCGAAGGAGGAGAACAAGGCAAGCTCCGCCCGCGTTCGGGCGCTGACGACCGGCTTCACCTCGGGCAGCCGCGACGAGGAGCAGGCTGGGGATCTGAAGGTGTACCCCAAGGGGCGCGGCCGCGGGCGCGGCCGAGGAGGCCGTGGCTGGGGGGCCGATGCCCCGGCGGAGGCCCAATGCAGCGACCTGGGCGGGGGGGGGGGCAGCCCGACCCCTCGCTCGCAGCGCGCGGGGCGCGGAGGACTCTGGCTTCCAGCGGCTCGCGGGACATCTTCCCTTCACCGCGTCGGCCGCTCGGACGCCGCGCTGGCTGCGCCGTGGGCCGAGGGCCGCAGGGGATTCGCGACGAGGCTCTCGCGGGTGTGAATTGGCTCGCTAGATGCGACTTCCACGCAGGCGAGGCCATCGCGAATGGCATGCCGGCGCGCGGGGCTGTGGCCGCCCTCGCCGGGGGGCTCCTGCGCAGGATGCAGCCGGCGCCGGGTGACGAACCCATCTGGTCGTCGCAGGATGGCTTCCGCGAGCTTTTGCAAGGTCGCGCCGTCTGCGAGTTCGAGCCCGCCAGCAGAACGTTTGCTCCCTGCCGACGTGATGCGGTGTCGCTACCTGAGAGTGTGACGGGTTGTCGTCTGTTCTCGGGGCCCAGCGACACGTGCTGGCGATGTGCGGAGGGCGAGGGCCGACGATTGCTTCGACGGACGGAAGATAGACTGCAGTTAATGCACGGCGACCCTATCAGGCCTTCTGTGGATCCTGGGCTGGGCCGCAGCCGACGGCGCTGCGTGGGCTTCATCGGGCCTCCAGGCTCGAGGGCTGCCTCGCATCGGCCGAACCTGCCTCGAGGACACAGGGCTGTTCTTCGTTGGGGAGAAAGGTCGGGTGAAGATGCGGATGATGCTTGACTGGAGGAAGAGCAATCAGTTGTTTAATTCGGGGCCGCGCGTCGACCTGTTGACGGCCGAGGGACTGTCGGGGGTCGAGGCCGAGGACTTCGAGGGCGGCGCAGTGCCAGTTTGCATGGGCGTGGCGGACGTGAAGGACGCGCTCCACCGGCTGATCATGCTGGAGTGGTTATTACGATATTTTGGGTCAGCGGCCGTGAGGGCCGAAGACGTCGGCGTGGTAGGGGGGGCGATCGATGAGGGGCCCGCCCAGAAGGGCGACATGATCTTGCCTATGGCGCGTGCGCTGCCCATGGGGTTCACTTGGAGCCTGTTCTTCTGCCAGCGCATCAATGAGGAGCTGTGTCGCCAGGTGCCCGTGCTGCGCGGCTCCCTGCCGTTGAGGGGTTGCGGTGCCCCTGCGGTGCTTGCTCTCAGCAAAGGCGTGCACCAGCTTGGGCACTGCGCGTGCGTCGACAACCTGGTGGGGTTTTGCGACCGTCGACAGGCCGTTGAGCTGATCTTGGCGGAGATGGTGAAGATCTTCGAGAGCTTCGACCTGCTAGTGCACGGCGACGAGGTCCGCGGCGACTGAGGCGCTTGGAGTGACCATGGACGGGGCGGACGGCGCTGACGAAGCGACGCTACTGGCGGGTGCACTCTGCGCTTCGACGCCTCCTGTACCGTGGCCGAGCCAATGGGGCCATGGTGGGGATTTTCCTGGGCGGCTGCACCTTCTGTGGCCTGGTGCGTCGGCCGACGCTATCGTGCTTTCACTCGGTGTGCAAATTCATTTTGAGTAACTACGTTGTGCAGCAGCCGCTCTGGGACTCCGTGGTGCAGGAGCTGCGGGCGTTCCTGGGGTTGACGCCCTTCTCGCGCTCCGATTGGTAGCCGAAGTGGGACCGGGTCGTCAGCGCGAGCGACAGTCGGAGTGGGGATTCGGTACCTCCACGAGCTACTGGAGCGATGAGGAGGTGAAGCCCGCGGGGCGCACCCGCGAGAGGGACCGCTTTCGTGATGTCCGCGCTGTGCGGGCACGGGGCATGCCCTGACGTCCGCGGGACTGCGGGAGCTCGCGGGGCTGCCGCCGGCCGAGGAGGTCGAGCTGCCCGTTGACGACGTCGACGGCCTAGAGTCAGCCATTGCGCTGGGCGAGTACGACGCCGATCCGAGATTCCCCGAGAGCGCCGCGAGCTGCCTGGCTTACAGTCGCTGGGTGCCTCAATTTTGGGGCGCGTGGAAGTGGGGCCAGGTTTCCTGATCCTTGAGGCCCGAGCGCTGGTAATGTCGCTGCGAAGGGTTGCGCTGAGTTCGGTCGGGAAAGATGTGCGCCAGCTTCTTCGTTTGAGTTTCGACCGATTCAGGGGCAGAGACTTTCTGTTGTTGAGCCAGATCTGTGTGTTTGCCGCGTACTGCCTCGCCCATGACGTTTAAACCGCTGTGCTGTGGGTTCCCAGTGGGCTCGACAATTCGAATGAACCCAGTCGAATCTGTGATGCCTTTCCGAGAGCTTCTGATTTGCTTGCCCGCCATCTGGAGGAGGGCCGATTTTCTTTTTCGGGCCCTGGGGGGGGGGGGGGGGTAGCAGCAGATCCTGGCGAGGGGAGGGGATTTTTAAGTGTTGAGTAGCAGCCCTGACCATTCGCGACCCGTGAGCAAAGAGGTACATCTGGGCCCATCTCGCCGCTTCGCAAACATTTTGTCTCAGACCTCGGCCATTCGCGTTAGTCTTGATGGCTAGGGCGGCGGCCAGCGCCTCGACAGGTCGCCGACGAGTTTTGGCCCTTGCCGCCCCTCTGGTGACAGGGCAGCCTGGGCGGGCGCGAGTGCTGGCGCCGGCCGCGAGCAGGCCGGTAGCGCAGCCGGCGGCCAAGAGGGCGTCGAAGCGGCAGCGGGCTTTGACGCCGACTCGCTCGCACTTGGGAGCCGAGCAGCAGGCGGCAGTGGAGTGCGACCAGCTGGGGAACGCTGGCGCTGCAGACGAAAAAGACGCTGGGCGACCGGCCCGAGCCACCGCGACCTCGAGTGGGACATCCGAGAGCGTGGGCGCGGCCGAGGCAGGCCGCGACCGTGTGCTGGAGCGCCGACAGAAGCATCGCAGGTCGAGATGCCTTTCGGAGTGCTTGGCTTCGCGCGACACGGGGGGCGCCCTCTTGGAGGGCCGCGCTGTGCCAGCGCGAGTGAAGATCGACTACCTCACGGAAGTGGCCGCGTTCGCTCAGAGGCTGGGCGTGGAGGAGGGGGAGTTCTGCGATTTTGACCCCAGCGACCCCCGGCAAAAGCTCGCCCGCTGCTTCGACGCGCTGTACTTCCAGGGGGGGCAGCCGAGCAAGGGGGTGGAGATCATCGCCGGGCTGATGCATCTTGTGCCCGCCTACAACAGGTTCGGGGATCGCAAACTGCCCCGCTCCTGGAGGAGCCTGCGCGGTTGGCGCCGCCTCTGCCCACCGCGATCGCGGAGGCCGTAGCCGCTCAGCATCTGGTGCGCGCTGTGCAACTGCATGGTGCTGTTGGGGCAGCCGCAGATGGCGCTGTTCGCGATGATCCGCCTGTCTACCTACTTGCGGCCTGCGCAGCTGCTGGGACTGATGCCCAAGTATATTCAGCGGCCTCGCAGGCAGGGATATCGGCGCTGGACGTTGCCGATCAATCCCGAAGAGCTGCATCGCCCAAACAAGACTGTGGAGTGCGACCTGTCTTTGGCAGTGGATTCGAAGTGGTTCGAGCGGTGCAGCCCGCTGATGGAGACGCTGCGACGACGGCCTCGGGGGTCGAGCGCATGGGGCTTCATCTGCAGCCAGTATGTGACGAAGTTCCGCGAGGCCGCGATGATTCTGGGCCTCGAGGATCTGGTGCCGTGCCAGACGCGCCATTTGGGGGCCGGCGTCGATCGGGCGTCAAACGAGCGAAACCTGGCAGATGTCATGCGGCGCGGAGGGTGGCCAACTGACAAGTCGGTGGCGCGTTGCGAGAAGGCCGCCCGACTGAGCCACTCTGCGTCGCTCCGTCCCCAGTGGCTGCTCAACCGCGCAGCCGACCGACTGCGAGAAGCAGCTTGAGGGCATCTTGATCCACGGGCGGGCCGTGCCAGTGCCCGGGGGCCGTGTGGGCAGCTTGTTGGCGAGGGCCGGTGCTTCGCGGATGTCTTCTGCGGGAAAGGCGGCTGCGGGCGGGCGGCCGAGTTGAGCGGGTTTCCAGTGCGATACTTCGACCGCGTGAATGGCGCCAACGGAGATGTTGCGGCCGGAGGTGATGAGGGGCATTCTTGGCGACGTACAGGCTGGGAAAGTGCTCGGAGTCATGATGGGCCCCCCTTTCGCAGAATTCAGTATTGCGAGGCGCCGCGGCCTGGCGTTGAGGACCGCAGAGTGGCCGATGGGTGTTCCAAATCTGCGTGACAAAGATCAACAGCAGGTTGGTTTGGGAAACAGTTTGACGAGAGCCGCCGTTCGGATCGCCCGTGAGTGCCAGAAGTCACGCGTGCCGTGGATTATAGAAGACCCGCACTCCTCTCATATTTTTTAAGACGCCCGCTGTCTTGGGGCTCGAGAGTGGTCCGAAGGTTTTCCAAGCCGTGTCTGATTTTTGTCGGCTTGGGACCAGGTGGAAAGACCACCGGGTTTCCCTGCGGGCAGGTAGACGAGCTCGAGCTCCAGCGTTTGCGTCGTCGTTGTCGGGGTCGCGGGGTTTGTTCGCGAACTGGGAAGGCTCACTTTATCCTCGAAGGGCCTGCCCCTGGTGGGGCCAACTTGACCCGCGTCGCACAAGCGTGGCCGCCTTCATTGTGCCGAGCGTTAGTACAGGTTCTTTCAGCCCAGACTAGGACCACGCGGCCCCCATATGTTTTCCCTAACTCAAGAGAACACCCTCTTTTGGGATGATCTGGGTGTCAGGTTTCAAGGCATTAATTCAATCTTTTAGTCTGTCGCCCGTCTCGGCCGCTTCGAGCTGCCGCGACGTTATTTCTAGGCATATCGCCGCTTCTGTAACCAAAGCGATATCATGAAGATGCCGATAATGATGGTGATGGAGCTCGTTTGGGCCGTCTTGGGGCGGCTTGGCCTCCAGTGAGGGAGTCTTTGGGGTCCCTTGGGCCCCTCGTCGGCCGTCTTGGGGCCCTTTTGCGCCTGCTTGGGGCTCTCTTGCGCCGTCTTTGGGCCCTCTTGGTCGTGTGGTGGTTGTCTGGGGGCCGTCGTGGCGCTGTCTTGGGCCGTCGAAGGGTCTTGTAAGGATTTCTAAGGCCGTCTTGGGTCCCACGGAAATCCTCGTAGGCCGTCTTGGGGCCGTCTTGGGCGCATCTTTGGCCATCGTGGAGTCTCTTTGCGCCGTCTTGAGCTGACGGCAGCCCGAACATGTTAAGAACGATAAAACACCCAAGGGAAATCAATACTACTGGCTCCTTCAGACCCTGTTGGAGGTCCTCTTGTGGCAATAGTGGGCCCTCTTGGGGGCATCTTGGGCCGCCCCGATTTAATATTTGGCCGCCTTTAAGGCCGTTTTGGGCCGTCTTCCATCTGGGCGTCTTTGGTTGCCTGCACGGGCCGTCTTGGAAGCGCGGGACGCATCTCCATCTTTCTTAACCTGGGGTCGTGGTTTGGCGGGCCTTGGGGTGCTTGGGCGCAGCGCTTGGGATGTGCACGATCCTCGAGCGGGTGCGCGTGGGATGAGGGGTCTAGGAGTTAGCAACCATGCGGGAAGTGCTCAAACCTTTCGCAGTCGCGCGTGGAATGATAGTTCAGAACTTACCTGCCATTCGGGAAGTGCACCATCTTCGAACGGGCACGCGTGGAATTGGGTATTAGGCATAGGCTGCCATGCTCTGAGCACACCATCCTCGAGCGGGCGCGCATGGAATGAAGGCTCAATCATTAGCTGCCATGCGGGAGTATCACCATCCTCGAATGGGCACGCGTGGAGTGGACTCGGGGACTAGGGATTAGGTGCCATGCTGGAAGCGCACCATCCTCGATCGGGCACAATGAAAGTGGCCTCGGAAATGAGAGGCGATGCATGCAGCAGTCTGCGGGTAGAGGGAGGGGAAGTCCCTTAGCAGAAGTCGCATTGAACCCTACCAGCCAAACCTCGACACGTGCCAAGGGGGCACATTGAACCCTACCGGCCAAACCCCGTCGTCGCACCCCCAAGCAAGTCGGCAGGGCGGATCTGGCGTCTCGCGAGAGACTTCCTCTTCATTTGTGATCTTGAGCGTACACTTCCCACAGACTACACGGATGGAGGGCGGGTGCTTTTCAACATGTGGCTTTCGCCTTAGCGGCGCGCCCATTCGTTTTCAATGCGTCCAACACTCACAATTATCAAGGCCGGGGCGTCCTCAAAATGTGGGTCTCGCTTTCGCGACCCGTACATTCGTCTTTAACGCGCCCAACATTCGCAAGCATGGAGAGCGGGTCGTTCTCAAAAGTTGGGCCACTATTTTTAGCGACGTGCAGCTTCGAAGTCAACGTGTCTAACAGTCATTCGGATGGAAAGCGGTTCGTTTTCAAACTGTGGGTCTCTTTGCAGCCACACGCACAGTTGCCACACACATTTCCATCAGTAAAGGGTGGTCGGCGGCTCGTTGTCCACAGTGGGCTCTCGCTTGAGATCTATGTATTGTTGTGGGGCGTAAGTGTAAACTTGTGCAACAGTCAGAAGACTGGTGGAAGAGACCCCCTCAAACACACAGGGTTCTCGCTTGAGACTTCGTTGACCTGTTCGACCCGGTGTATTGGTGTATTGAGAATCCGTCCCAATGATGGAGGGCGGCCGCTTTTTTGACATGGGGCTCTCTCTGCAGACTTCCTCGAACTTCACGAGCCGACATTGTAGCCCTGCGCGACAGTTCACGGATGGAGTGTGGCCCCCTGTTCAGGATGGGTCGCTCGTTGGACATTGCCTGTGTTTCCTGTTCCTGCAGTCGGGGCGCTGCAGAAGGAACCCGTTTCGTTGGGGAGGGGCTCCGTGTTTCTTGATTGTTTCGCAGTTTTTTTTTGTTTTTTTTTTCTTTTTCTTTCTCCGGAGGTTTTCCATGGGAATTCGAAATTCAATAGATGGGAAAAAAGGGGCTTCGTTTCCTATGTAGGGCTCCTTATGTCCGCCCTTGCGTCCCTCGGGGCAGCTCCCCTTCAGAACGGGGCCCTGGTCGCCCGAAGGACAGGTCTGCGGGGTGGCTCGTCTTGCAGGGGAGGTCGGGCCGTGGGACAAAAATGCCTTCGGGCACCTCATGGGGCGGGGACACGGGACGGGAGGGTGCGTTGCCGCAGCGTTGATGCAGCCTCGGTTCACTCTGGTCCTCCGCCTCCTTCTCTTTCCCTCTCTCTCCCTCATTTTTTTTTCTCTCTCTCTTTCTCTCTCTGCCTACCTCTGCCTTCCCCTCTTCTCTCTCTCTTTATCTCTCTGTCTACCTCTGCCCTCCTCCCTCTCTCCCTCCCTCCTTCCCTCCTCGTGCTTCTCCTCCGACCTGGGCCATTGAAGAAAATATTGGTTTCCGTGAGCACAAAGGTAATATGAGGGATAGGCGGGGTCAAGGGACGTTTTTCGGGGTCATGGATTGTTCGAAAGGTCAACGACATCCTGTGGCACCACAACTCGCGCACTTTCGCCCAGCGCATTGGCTCCCAGTTCAAGGCGGCCCGCGATTACGTGGATGGCGCCAAGAGGACCTTGTCCCTCGGCATCCAGCGGCCCAGGCTGGGCGTCTGGAAAACGCAGCCCTCTCCTCTCCTTGTACCCTGCCTCTTCCTCCTCCCCCTTTATCCTCCTGCTTCTCCTCCCTCCTCCTTGCCCTCTTCCTGCTCATGCGGGTCCACGTTTTTGTTTGCTATATCCACGTGGTGCATGAACTCATGCAGTACGGGCCAGAACTCACGTGCCCGTTTTTTTCCGTGCGTGCACAGGGATAGTGGGAAACAGGAGCGGTTGGTGCGAAGTCGACCCTCCTCGCGGATTACATTTTCCTGTTAGGATGGCCAGGTGCCAGATGTGGAACCAGCGCGGACCCCAAACAGTGTGTGTATAGCAGTATATGTTGTGCAACCTAGGTTGAGCATTATATGTTGTGCAGTTCACCCTGCCGAGCTTGAAGTTGTCAACTGTACACTGCTCGCGCAATCATCCCACCCACCGACCCACAACTTGGTTTGCAACCCCCCTGCAGCGGCGATCGCGATGACTGCTTGGCGCTGGCCGGCGCATCGCTGCGGCCGCGCTGGCGCGCGCAGGCTCCCGCGCAGAGCGGCCAGCTTGTCTGGTGCGACCGACGCGGCGCGGTAGCGCTGGCCGCCAGGCAATTCCCATTGCGTCTCGCAGGCCGCGCTGAAGCGTGGGCACTTCAGTGCGAATCGGTGGCTAGGGCGGGCGCGGTATCATGACGACGTCGACAGCGACAGACACGATGATGGTGATGATGATGATGATGATGATGATGATGATGATGATGCTGGTGATGCTGATGATGATGACGATGACGATGATGATGATGACGATGATGATCATGTTGATGATGATGATGATGATGATGATGATGATGATGATGATGATGATGATGATGATGATGATGATGATGATGATGATGATGATGATCGTAGCGGTGCTGGTGTCGACAATGGCAGCGACGACGGCAAGGTCAATGACGGCGCCGATGTTGATCACGCCGATGACGACCATGGTGTCCTCGTGTCGGTGATGAAGGTTTTGGAAAAATCGACATGCGCGCGCGGCCGACGGGCGCGAGTGGCACGCGTGGAGTTATTTCACGGGGGCGCGTGCCCCCGTGGCACGCGCGCTGGGGCGTTCGAGTGGTCTCGGCCTGCGCGAGGGGCCTGGTTGGTCGCATTTGATGCGGACCTTGGAAAATTTTAGGTCGGGGGAAAAATTTGCAACATCGCGCGCCCAAGCTTCTGCAAACTCATGCGGAAACACCACATGTTTGTGCATGTTTTCGTGACGCTATTTTTTTGACTTCGTTACGATTTTTTACGGGGGGGGGGGGAGAAAATTCCGGCAAACGCGCGTGACGACGCGCGCTTATGCACTTCGTCGTTTTTTGCAAGATAGTTGTGCAAACGGGTGGTTTTGGATCAACGACTATGCGTGCATAGCTTGATATGATGAGGATGGTATGTGGGGGAGTCAAACCTGGTCTACTTAGGATCATATTTCGAAGGAGCGCTGAGACCCAATCGTGTGTAAATTGGACATCCCCGGCGTGTATCGATAACTCCGGAAACGAGAATCTCGCGGCGGCGACGACCAGCGGCGGAGCACGGAGCCGCCGGACCGACATCTCGGCCCAGACGGCGTGCGGCGACGAGGCAACGACGGGGCGGCGACGGCGAGCACGGAACGGTCCGTATGCCAGCCAGGCCAAGACCATGGGCGGCGACGGGGTGGCGACGGGGCGACGACGGCGGCAACATAGCCGCGAAACCGACGCGCAGTCCCAGACGATGGCGGGCGACGGGGCAGCGACGGGGGGGGCGACGGGAGCAAGACTGCCGTTAGAACGACGCACAGATGCACACACCGCTCTTGGGGGCCTCTTGGAGCCGTTGGGAGCCTTTCGAAGCCGAGGTCACCAAATGTCCGTTCGGGTTTCCTGTCAGGGCCTTCTCTTGGAACCGTCCTTGGGGCGTCCTAGGTTGTCTTGCGGGCCTCTTGGGCCGTCTCAGGACTCACGGCGGCGGAGGATCGGACGACGAGGGGGGCCAGAAAGGACTCGTACCATGTATTGCGCGAAATGCTGCCGTGTCGAAGCGAAACAGAAGCTGTGCAGTGGCAGTGCGAAATGGTACGAGAGTGTCTGCACACCACGGTGTTCGGACGAGACGTGCGTGGCCTTCTCTGAAGAGAAGGGGAGGGCATTTCGGAGGCGCAAGCGAGGCACCATGCAGCTGGGAAACAGCTTAGCCGAAGATGTGCCGAGGAGCTCGAGAACTCCATGCGCGCGGCGAACAGTTGCAATCGAAAGGCAGAGGCCGAGACGGAACCGCTGACATGCTGCGTGGCAGGATGCGGGGTGACATGTTTTGGACAAGGGGCAATTTCAAAAGAAGCGTGTGCAATGTCATCGCCAGAAGAAGGGGGCCAGAAGGGGGCCAGAGTAGTCTGCTCAGAATGCGACGCCCTGGGGCCACAGCGCGAAATTGGCCAGCGTATCAGTGCAGCGGCATGTGCCGAAGAAAGCTGCCGAGGTCGGCGTTCTCAGTGACGGGTGGCCACGTCGCGCGCGCCGAAGAGACCGGCACCATGAAATTCAAGTCGTGCCAATGATACCCGTTCGGGTGACCAGTTGTGAGATCGGATTTTCAATGGCGCACACGTGCCGAACACGGTGGATATAGGGTCAGGAGGGGAGAGAGCGAGGAGGGAGGATGAAACATATGAGAAGGGACATGCTGAGAGGGAGGAGGAGAAGGAAGATGAGGAGGAGGCGGAGGAGGATGAGGAAGAGGAGGAGGAAGAGGAGGAGGAGGATGAGAAGGAGGAGGAGGAGGCGGAAGAGGAGGAGGAGGAGGAGGAGGAAGAGGAGGAGGAGGAGGAGGAAGAGGATGAGGAGGGGAGGGTTCCCGACCCATGGAATTGCCGTCGGTTCATCCCGCCGCTGTGCTTGGGTTGTGGGCGAGAGTCTGCCAGGAGCCTCTGGGGGAGCACTTGTGGGGCCTTTGGGGGCCTCTTGTGGGCCTCTCGGGGCCTCTTGTGGACCTGTTGGGGCTCCCAGGGGCCTGTTGGGTGCTTTTTGGATCGTCTTGGGGCCTCTTGGGGACCCCTGGTGGACCTCTCGAAGTCGAGGGTTCGAGATGTCAGTTCAGGGGCCCGGCCTGGGCCCCCTGTGTGGACCCGTCTAGAGGGCCTCGTGGGCGGTGTCGGAGGCCTCTCGGGCCGTCGAAGGTCCCTTCTGGGCCGTTTAGGAGCCCTCTTGGAAGCCTCCCCGGCCTCCTCCTCCTCCTCCTCCTCCTCCTCCCTCCCTCCCTCCTCCCTCCTCCCTCCTCCCTCCTCCCTCCTCCCTCCTCCCCCCTCCCTCCTCCCTCCTCCTCCCCTCCTCCTCTTCTCGTCCCAGAGGAGCTCGTCCAGATGACGTCAGCTCAAATCAAGGCGTCTCGGCCGTCTTGGGGCGTCGGGAAGCCGGAAACACGAGAACGCCCAAACCAGCGAAAAACTTGAGGCACATGATGCTTGCGTTTTGGGGCCCTCGTGGGAGGTGTCTTGGAGGCCTTTCTGGGCGTCTCTGGGGCATCTTGGGCCGTCTTGAGGCAAGCTTGGGCGTGTTGGAGCGGTCTTATGGCGAGTCTGGGGCCCTCGTGGCCCCTTTGGGGCCCGCTATCCCCCCATGGCGCGTTCGTCGGCGGCCTGGGGGAGGGGGTCAAATTCCTGGTCTGGGGCCCCTGGGGGGGGAGGGATCATTTTGGGGGGCAATCTCACGCACCTGGAGAATCACAAGGGCTCGGCGGATTGCTCAACTTTTTTTTTCTGATCTGAAAAGGGAATAGGTTCTACCACCCTCCCCCCCGGGGCTCAAAGACCCCCCGGGAATCGATGTAAAACACATCGGATTCTGACCCGATGTCTATCCTACCTGTGAGTTCATTCTATCCCAGCCCAGCCGGTATCGGCCCCCCCGCCATCGTCTGCAAAAAAAGTATGCGCGCACACTCGTTTATCACGAATCAGAAGTTTTCAAGAATGCTTTGCAAAACATGTGACGAAGTGCACACGCGCGCGTCGTCGCGCGCGCATGCCGAAATTCTTCAGAAACCTTTGTTTTCGGAAGGATTTCAAAATCTACTGTTCAAGAAACATACAACAACGCAAGATTTCGCAACATTGATTTTCTAAAAAAGCTTACGCGCGCGCTCTTGCGAAATCTTACGAAAACCAGCGGTTTTACAACATTTTCAAAAAATACTACCAAACGGGCGTTGCGCGCGCCTGTCACAATATTTCGAACGCCCTTGCCCGCGTGCCGTCGCGAGAACCGTCTGCAACAAATGGGACGAAGTGCACGCGCGCGCGATGTCGCGCCCGCATGCCGAAATCCTTCAAAAACTTTCGTTTTCAGAAGGATGTTAAAATCGAGTGTCCAAAAAACATACAAAAACACGGGGGTTCGCAACGCGTATTTTCAACAAAAGCGTGCGCGCGCGCTCTTGCGTCGTCGTCGTCGTCGTCGTCGTCGCCGTCCTCCCTCCTCCCTCGTCGTCGTCGTCGCCGTCGTCGTCCTCTGTCTTTCCTCGTCGTCGTCGTCGTCGTCGTCGTCGTCGTCGTCGTTTCCGTCGTCGTTGTCGCCGTGGTTGTCCTTCCTCCTCCCTCGTCGTCGTCGTCGTCGTCGTCGTCGTCGTCGTCGTCGTCCGTCGTCGGCGTTTCGTCGTCGTCCCTCCTATTTCGCCGTCGTCGTCGTCGTCGTCGTCGTCGTCGTCGTCGTCGTCGTCCGTCGTCGTCGTCGTCGTCTTCCCTCCTCCCTCGTCGTTGTCGTCGTCGGCGTCGCCGTCCTCCTTCCTTCTTCGTCGTTCGCGTCGTCGCCGTCCTCCCTCCTCCCTCATCGTTGTCGTCGGCGTCGCCGTCGTCGTCCTCCCTCTTCACTCGTCGTCGTCGTCGTCTTCGTTGGCGATGTTGTTGTTGTCGTCGTCGTCGTCGTCGTCGTCGTCGTCGTCGTCGTCGTCGTCGTCGTCTTCGTCGTCGTCTTCGTCGTCGT